GGAGCAGCCTGGGATGGTGGGAGGTGTCCCTGCCTGTGGCAGGGCTGGGCTGGGCTGGGCTGGGATTGAAGGTCCCTCCAACCCAACCCAGTCTGGAATTGTCTGATTGAGTGCTGCTCTCAAATACGAGTGAGCTGCTTAACTTGCTGCTTCCCTTTATCCTGCCAACAAGGAATGGAATTGAGCCCCTTTTTTCAAGGAATGTCAGTGTTTCTCCAGTGACTGACACACTTATTTCACCTTGAACATCCCAGATGTGTTGATTAACCCCCAAAAAGTGCCATGATCAGACTTCTGCCATCCCAGAGCTTTGTGGGAAGAGCTTGTTCATCAGGACAAAGCTTCCCTTGTGGGAGGCTGTCCAGGGAAGTGGTGGAAGCAGCTCCAGCGATCCATGGGGAAGGGTGTTCAATGAACCAGGAGGGAATGAAGGTGGTGAAACCACCGGAGACACGACAACAATTCCTCGTTCCTTAACTCTCCTCCCCCAGGTACCCCTTTGAGCCCCCCAAAATCCGCTTCCTGACCCCCATCTATCACCCCAACATCGACTCTGCGGGCAGGATTTGCCTGGATGTGCTCAAGTTACCCCCCAAGGTGAGGCAGGGCCGGGCCCTGAGCTCCTTCCCTGCTCCCTGGGAGCCGATTGAATGTCCTGTGCTCCTGATTTATTTACACCCGCAGGGAGGGCTGCTGGAAACGGCCTCTCCTTGGTGTCCTGCCAGGGCTGGGGGACAGCCTTTGTTCCCAAGGAGTTTCCAAGGTTTCAGGGCTGGGAGCCAAAGGGAGTTAGGGCTGGAGACGAGATGTGTGCAGGATCCAGCCCATGGCATCTCCTGAGCTGGGAGGGACCCGGAGGGATCGTCATGAGCTGAACTTGCAGGGGACAATCCCAACAATCCCCCTGATCCTTGAGCTCTGGCAGCTTCGAGGTGGTTCCCACTGCCCTGCTGGGCTTCCCTGGAGCCAGGAGTTGGGATTGGGGTGGTGTTTCCCATGGGTGCTGAGGTGCTCAGGATTGGGGTGGTGTTTCTGTGGGTGCTGAGGGCTCAGGATTGGGGCAGTGTTTCTGTGGGTGCTGGGGTGCTCAGGGTTGGGGCAGTGTTCCCGTGGGTGCTGAGGTGCTCAGGGTTGGGGTGGTGTTCCCGTGGGTGCTGAGGTGCTCAGGATTGGGGCGGTGTTTCTGTGGGTGCTGG